AGAAGTGGACACCATATCCAGACAAACTGTCAAAAACTATTTTGTCTCCCATCTGTTCTTCTAAGGGCCCATTCTTTCCCCCAAATTATTTGCTCTCCCCTAAGTTTCCTATATCCCTCCTCCCTTTCCCTCATGAAGACAGTATATAAGCTTTCAATTCTCACTGATATTTTAGATATTCACATTTTTTCCTTTGATGCCCCCACACATGCATAAATTTGTACACTTTTTATCCTGTTAACCTGCCTATTGTCAGTTTCTTTCATAGACCTAGTTATTGAACCTAGGAAGGCAGAGGGAAAGTCTGTCCCTGCCCTACAAAAGCAAGAATGAGGTGCTGCTACAGGGCTCATCACCTTAGTCCCCTGAACTCCCTCCTTTCCTTCTGCACTCCCCCAGCTTGAGGCCATTCAGCTCCCACCAGCTGCTGTGGTCTATATCCACACACCAACTTCAAAGAGTAGGTTTTACTTACCATCATCTTCCTGCAAAGGGTGCCTACCACCCCAACTCCCCTTCCTAAATTATGCCTTTGTATCTAGGAACCTACCAAACTTAAAAAATTACTTAGGGATTACAACATTGAGTAAACTCAAATATAAACGGTTTGACATTTAAAACTAAATATCCAGTATCTCAAAAGTCTTCAATATAAGAAAAATAGGAACGAACACCAAAGCAAAAATAGTCAAAAGAAGGATGCCTTGCTGCCTAGTTTTAGCTTTAGATTAATAGAATCCATGACATTGGCATGGCTTATACAATTGTAAAATATCTGCAAAACATTGCCAACCTCTTAAGGAAACTATTATTTTCTGCACTGTAAACCACTGGTGAGCTCTAGATCACCACTCCAATGTCTCCCACCTGCATTCACAGATAGGAAGAAGCAGTCTATGAAAGCAAGAAAGTACAAACATGTTTTTCTTAGTGTAAGATGAGACTTTTAAAAAGGTGCATCAATAGCTAAAGAAATGAAATGAACTCTTATGGTATCTGTTCCTGCTACACATTTATGTATATGTATGGTTTTTCAAATAAGTTTTTTAAAGCAACATTTTACTTATCAAAATATTATAACAATACTAAGTGTTTAAAATCCCATCTTCTTAACTTTTATTTCATTTTTTTGCTTCTATAGTTTTTTCATTTGCATTCATTTTACACACAATTTTATAATCTACACAGCACTTTTAATGTCTTTATTCCTTCAAGTTGTTATATCAAAATGTACCCAGTTGTTGAAGATTTAGTTTCCCAAGTTTTTCATTTTTGTTAATACTGAAATAAATGTCTGTATAGAAAGTGATTTTTTTCTGACTGTGAGTTAATCTACCATCCATTACAGTGAGGAGCATGTGGCAAATGCTCAGCAAATATCTGTTGTTTAAGTAAATTATTTATAATTATCAAGAATGAGAATATGGGGTCAAATATGAAAATAATTCTGGTGTAAACAAACTTAATATTTCTTGATACAGATTACCAAATAGCTTTCTAAGAGAATTCTATTTGCTATGTCACAAGTTGTTTAACACGTCATTTCCATTGAGGCACCTTTTTAAATCTTGCTAATTAGCAAGAGGTCAAGGAATGATTTCAATACTGCTGAATTCAATGGACATGAAGAGTCTGAATCAATATGGAGAGTGGAGGGGGGGTCACATTTTGTTTTCATTTTTAATCGTTTTTAAAGTCTATACTTGACTATAGTTTAATTTTTCATTTCTTTAAGTCCTCATTCTAACTTGCAAGGCAGAACATGTAATGGGATCAGTTAACCACTCAGATTTTAACATCTTAAGCAGTTTGGATATATTGGTTTTAGCCCAAAGAACCAAAGTAGGACAGAATTTGTTGTAAGGTGAAGTGCTGGCTAGAGGGAAAGACAAGAGGCTACAGAACTTGGCCACACAAAGTGTGATTCCCAGAGCACCTGCATCAGCATCACCTGGGAGCTTGTTACCAATGCAGAACCTTGGGCTTCAGTCCAAACCTACTGAATCTTAATCTGCATTTAAACAAGAGCTCCAGGTGATTCTCATGCACATCAAGTCAGAGAAGCTGTTCTCTAAACAGTGAAAATTGCTACTGCCAGTTGTCTAAGGCAGAGGTCCCCAACCTTTTTGGCACCAGGGACCAGTTTCATGGATGACAACTTTTCCATGGATAGGGGGTGGGGTTGGGGGTGGGGGGGGGAGGCAGAGTTCAGATGATGATGCAAGTGATGGGGAGCGGCTGTAAGTACAGATGAAGCCTTGCTCACTCGCCCATTGCTCACCCCCTCCTGCAGTGTGGGGGCAGTCCCTAAGTTTCTTGGAAGACAATTTTTCAGGGAGGGGGGAGGCGGAGCTTTGCAGCCTGGTCCCTAACAGGTTACAGACCTGTATTTGGGGACAGCAGGTCTAAGGGCTTTAGCAGAAAAGAAATCTCCATATGAATATTAAAACATGAATCTAAGGATAGCAAAGAGCCATCTATAATTTTAATTTGGCTGATTCTTTTGAGAACATTTTCCATACTCTAGCCTGGCTTTTATTTATTTCTTTTATTTTTTATTTTTTGAGACTGGGTCTCACTCTGTTGCCCAGAATAGAGTACAGTGGTATCATCATAGCTCAGTGTAACCTCAAACTCCTGGGCTCCAGTGATCCTCCTGCCTCAGCCTCCTGAGAAGCCAGGACCACAGGTGCCTGCCACCACACCAGCTAAATTTTTTTTCAGTTTTGTTGAGATGGGGGGGTACAGTTCTCGCTATGTTACTCACGCTGGTCTTAACTCCTGGCCTCAAGTGATCCACCTGGCTCAGCCTCCCAAAGTGCTGGGATTACAGGCATGAGCCACCACGACCAACTTAGCTTGGCTTTTTAAAAAGTCAAATGTATTATGGAGAATTTTAAATATAAGTTTTAGTGTCTTGCAGATCCATCCCTTTTTCAAGTATAGATTTTATTTAAATCCTCCAAGTGGATAGGGGATTATCTGATTTCTAAAATCTTCTAGTGATGATTTTTCAACACTCTTTGCTAAAACTCCTCCTGCCACCAATTAAAACACCTTCTTTCTCTATGATATTTAAGTTCCTTCAAAGCAAGAACCTGTATTAGAGTTTTTCATAATTAGTTCTTTGATCCACTTACATCATTTATCCTCGAGTGAATTAAGAATGCAAAGATTTGGGCCTTGACTCAGTCCCCTGAATCAGAATCTCTGGGGTGGGGCTTAAGAATCTTTATTTTAAAGAATTGGACCAATTGATTCTAATGCCCAACAAAGTTTGAGAACCATTGTCTTTCAAGTTTTAACAGAAAGCTGAACACCTGAGCGTATCTTGTTCCTACCTTGCATGAACAATGGAATCACTTTGAAAACTTCTTAAAAGCACTGATGCCTGCATTCCACCCCCAAAGATCTTCATTTAATTGGCCTGGAGTATATAGCCTGGTACTGAGAACCACTGACTAGGTGCTTCAATAAATACTTATCTCATTGTACTTATCTACTTTGTTTAGAAAGAAAAATAATCCAAGGTTAGAATATAGACAGAGTCATAAGCCGGTGGCAAAGGACTTGACTATCTGCCCAGAGCCTAGAAGAAGAAAGATTGGAAGATCAGGGACAAGGAGGTCTAGGGGAGGATGGTCATATGGGAGTGAGTACAAAGTGGTCATGAAGATTGTATGGTAATGCCTACCAGCAAGGAGCACCTACCACAGAAGAGGGACTAAACACCCTGGAGACAAAATGACTTGGCTGGTTGACTTCAGCCAGCCTCCATCATCAGCTTCTAGTGCTAATATAATAGATACAGTGTACCATGGTGACAAGATGGAGGCTATGCAAGATCTCAAAAGCATGGGCTCTCCATGGGTTAGCTGGTTGAAACTACATCACAGCTCAGCTTCTACCTCTGTCCAATTTTGCCTCTGTCCCTTCCCTTCTACAGATGTTGATCCCAAGAGTACCTCATTATAAACTCTCTGCATGATAATCTCCTTCTCAGAATCTATTTTCCAGGGAACCTAACTTACAACAACTGACGATGCCAAATGTTGGCGATGTGTAACTATCATAACTTTCAAACACTGCTTGTGGGAAGTGTAACTTGGTACAACCATTTTAAAAAACTGAAAGAATGTATTAAAGTCGAACATAAGCATATCCTATGATCCAGCAATGCAACTCCTAGGTATACATACAACAGAAAGGGAGGTACATGTGCAGCAAAAGACTTGTGTGAGAATGATCATAGCAGCACTATTTTCAATAGCTGAAAATTGAAAACAACCCAAATATCCATCAAAAGTATAGTTGAAACCTATGGAATATTCATACAATGAAATACTCTTTCAATTCTTCATAGTATGTAAATACCCTATAGTTTGTATGAACAAACTACTGCTACACATGACAACATAGATGAATCTTACAATGTTGAGTGACACCAAACAATATGATACCATTTATATATGTAAAGTTTGTAATGCAATTCTATGTATACAAATTTCAAAAACAGGCAAAACTAATTAAAGTTGATAGCAGTCAAAATAGTGCTTACCTTTGGGTAGTGACCCAGAGAGGACGAAAAGGGGGCTTCTGGAGTGTTGGAAATATTCCGTTTCTTGATTTGGAATGTGGTTATATGAGTACTTTCATTTTGTGAAAACTGAGCTATACACTTAAAAAAAATTAAGTGAAAATTTTAAAAAATCCTTTGGAAGGGTAATTTGGAAATAGCTATCAAAATTCTCCTGAAAGTAAATGCAACATTTGAGTTGTGAGAGTGAGAATACCTGAGGTAACAGGTATGAGAGTCTGAGCAGAGTCAACTTTAATCATATGACTGGCTAGATGTGGAGGAAAGTGTCAAAAATTATCAAGGCCATTCATAGAAATGGGGAAGTCGAAGGCACTGGTTCGGACAAACAAATAATTCGGTTTGGGATTATCTTATGTTTTCTGTTAATTCACAATGAAGACAATTTTTGCATTCTCTCTAGGTCCAGAATCTAGATGTTAATACATGTATTCATATAGAAGATTTATAATTTCATCAAGTATTAATCCAGAAACTCAACAGGAAGGAAACAGAGAATGCCACTTAGCCTCAGCTACAAGTAGGACCTACTTATAAAGAAAATGCACTTCAAATAATGGTGAGAAACTTTTTTTTTGCCTTGCTAATTGGCAAAGATTTAAAAAAATAATTTAGATTAGCAAAGATGTAGAAAAATGGGAACTATCGTATACTGCTGCATGGGAGTGTGATTGCAACTTCCAAAGGACACTTTTATAGTATATAGCAAAAACCTAAAAAAATTAGGTCTTTTGATCAAATAATTTCGATTCTATCTGAAAAGTACATGCAAATATTTTTAAAAATATATTTTTAATCAAAGTAATATATGCACATGGTTGGGGGTTGTTTGTTTGTTGTTTGGTTTTTAGAGACTGGGTCTGGCAATGTTGCTCAGGCTGGCCTTGACCTCTTGGGCTCAAATTCTCCTCCCCCAATTCTACCAGCCTCCAGAGTAGCTGAGACTATAGGCATGTACCACTGTGCCTGGCTTACACATGATATTTTTTAAATTAATTATTCTAAATGGCTTAAGATGAGAAAACAGTATACCTCTGTTTCATTTCTTACTCATACTGCTCTCCAATCTGCCACGGTCATGAAACTTTTAGCTGTTTCATCTACTATTTACCTCTTTGTGTTTAAATAATTTGCTCATTCAGCCTATTCTTGATTTATCAATTTAAGACATTGTTTCTTGACATTGACATCCTGTTATGCTAGTGGAAGATTTAGCCCTTTTACTCAATCTCCACCACTTCCCTTCCCCACATCCTCTCACTATAGATTCATCATAATCTCTAAATGTCATATGGCAGGACTTCTTGGCAAAAACGTCATGGGGCAAAAATGTTTTGATTAACTGGAGTAGTCAGTATTTACATAATGAATATGTAAAGATTTCTAAACATCAACAGGCTAGTCATATTTTTTCCAAATCTCTGAACACAAAACTATCCAACAAACTAGCAGTTCCATTTTTTTCTAAAGACCTCCTTCCCTTATTCCTGTCCTCCTAATCTAATCAGGACTGACTGGCCCTGAGGCTTGGGCACAGTTGTCATCCCAGGATTTCCGCTCACTGTCCTCTGTACTAGCTCCCCCATTTCCTAGACTCCTTTTTCTTTCTTGGTATACTTTCTTGTATTCCTGAAATAGTAATTTCCTAAGAAAAGGTACATAAAGGCAAAATTTTGTGTATTTGAATCTCTGAAAATGTCTTTATTTTACTCTGATACTTTATTGGTGGTTTGGTATGAAATTCTTATCTAAACATGATTTCACTTCAGAATGTTTGAAATAATACTTCATTGTCTTCTAGAATTCAGTGGCACTGTTGAGAAGCCCAGGTTCATTGTCCACTGCTCAAGGAGAAGCCAATACACTGAGACAGCAGGGTTTACAACAGAGAAAGAGTTTAATACTACAGGTACCATGCAAGGAGACAGAAGGAAGTTCTCAAATCTGTCTCCCTGAGAATTTGGGAGAAAAGGTTTTTAAAAGTAGTTTGGTGGATCTGCTAATTGGCCAGGCAATTGGGTCTGCTAATTGGCTGGGTTTGGGGTGGAACCACAGGGGTGTAGAAATTGTCTTCTTTGCTGAGTCAGTTCTTGGATGGGATCGCAAGGGCAGTTGAGTCAGTTCCTTGGTATGGGCCACTGGTCTGGGTGGGTCAGCTGTTCCACTGGAATGCAGGGCCTGGAAGATGTCTCAAAAACTAACCTTAGGTTTCACAAAGGTGACATCATCTATGGGAGCAATGAAGAATGCTAAGAATCTTTATGACCATCAGCTATATGAGTCCTGAGTTGTAAGCAATTATAGGAAAGCAAGCTAGGGAACAATGGCTGGTTACATATATACTTCCCCTACTTTGTGGCCCTTTATTAATTTCATAAAGGGCAATTTCACTCCTACTTCAGCCTCCTGAGTAGCTGGGACTACAGGTGTGTGCCACCATGCCTGGCTAATATATAATTTTTTTTTTTTTTTTTTTTGTAGATACAGGCATCTTGCTGTGTTGCTCCAGCTGGTCCTGAACTTCTGGCTTAAAGCAATCCTCTTACCTGAGCCTCCCAATGTGCTGGGATTATAGGCATGCGTCACCGTTTTCAGCTAGATTACTCTTTCTTAGTAGTGAGATCAGAGAATGCTGCCTGTTTTAAACTGCATTTTAAAAAAGTCTTTGAAAAAGAGTTCAAATTTGAATATGCAGAATTGGGAAGGGGGAGCCAGGAAGGGGCCCAGGGAAGAGAATCCAAACAAAAATGCAAACAAAACTCCAAAAATATTTCTTACTAATAATGGGGAAGTAGCTATAAACACACCAGCTATTATCCTTATCATCCTTATTTGAACACTATTTGGTATATTGGCCACTTTGCCTACCACGCTGATTTGCTTTCAACTTTCCTTATAGTAATAGCTGTTGTGCTCTTCCAGCAGAATCTTCAGTGTTAGCCCCAAAATTCTTGTGTTCCAATCATGTGAAAGTTGATTTTGCCGAGTTTGTCATGAGATGTTAACATGTTAAAAATATATAGCTATGTCAGTCTTTTTCTCTATGTCCCCTTTGTCATGGTGAATATCCTTTAAAAAATGCTACATGAAATCATATTTCTCCGATAAATTCATTAATATTAAAATTTGCTTGAAATGTTCTTCTTGTTCTTGTATTATTCAACCAGATAAAAAGGAGGAACAGATCAATTTCATGTGCCCTCAGTAATTGCAATTTTCAGTATTTCAATCATGTGCCTTTATACTCTTTCTCTTTTGCCAGCTAAATAATCACTTGGAGTTAGTTGCTGCAGTGAAACTTGAAACCTGATCATTGAAGAAGCCTGCAATTTAGCAGAAAACAAGTCACACCAGGATCTTCTGCTCCAGCTGCATATTGAGGATTCAAGTCTCCTTAAAAATACCCCTGTGCTTCTAGTTAGTTTAGTTGCTTAAAGAACTTTGCAAACTTGTTGTTTTGGAAGAATATTATACATTCATACCCACCTACAACTCCTAGAGGGTTCACTATAGTCTTACAATACAATGCCACTTAATCATAATTTGTGGGAAATGAGATGTGCTGGTTAAACATATTTTCTGGTTAAACCCTTTTATCTTTAAATCTTGTTGCATGATTCAGAATTTTGAGTTGCTTCATTTCGAAAAAATGATGCTGTTATTGGGATCAGGACATATGCTGCTAGTTGCTGTTCCGATATTATTATGCTGCTGTTGTCATTTGTCTCTAATAAGGGCAGATCCTTCCTTACTCTCTCTTCTCTCTCTGTTCCTCTCTCTCCCTGCCTTATGCATGTGTGCATGTGTGTAATCGTAGGTGCCAATTAATGCCAGCAAATGCTCAGCTTTAGAAACACCTGGAATAAATTCTCTTATTTTTCCTCTCCCAGTCACTAGTCCTTCTAAATTAAAAAAAAAAAAAAGATTATTCATAAAGCCATATCTCCAAATATTTGTGAAAACATATTATTAACAGCTATCAAAAGCTCATCTATACTTAAATTTGCCAAGTTGATATTTGGTGGTTGTGAATGTAACCCTTTGGTTACATCTAGAGAGAACACAGCCTCCGGGATATGAAAAAGGAGGGCATATGTAACAATCATTTTTACAGTCCTAAGCCCTAGGTAGCAGGGAAAACGGTTGGCATACCAAAAAGTCACCATTACCACCATAAATTTATTCAGCAAGTTTTTTTTAAAAGTCTACTATGTGCAAATTGTCATGGAGAGGACAAGACATAGTCTAGTAGTTTAATGTGGAAATTAAGGGTTCCACTAATTTGTCATAAATGCCATGTCCGTGGTTCAGGAAATAAATAATATGACAAATCAGAGGAAGATGATGTCATTTCTGACTGCATGATAAGGGAATGTTTTGTAAAAGACATGACATCTGAGCTGATCCTTGAAGAAGGGGTAAGATTTTAGTAGGCATTGTTGACGGTTCAGCAAAAACAGAGGTAGGAATGCCCAACTCTGTTCAGGTACTGTAAGGAAAGATGCATGAAAGTGAACAGTGACAGAAAGGCTTAGAAAGGCAGGGAGGATTCAATTAGAGAAAACTTCTGCAAGCTAACATTTGAATCTTATTCCAAATAAATGAACATTTTTGACAAAAGCAGTGGTCAAGAGCACAGGCTTTGGCATAAGATAGATTTGAGCTGCAATCCTGATTCCACTTAACTGTTTATGATCTTGAGCAAGTCATTTACCTCTCCAAGCCTCAGGCTGGTCATCTCTATCACATACGGCTGTTATCAGGATTAAATGTAATTGGGATATGAAGCACCTACTAATTCTGAAAACATTTATTGAGCTTCCACTGGGTAAGTCCCAGTCACTGAGCTTTGTACTGGTGATGCAAGCCCTGCCTTCAAGGAACCCATGATCCAATGGTAAAGACAGATAAGGAAACAGAAAATTATTAATACAATACAGTATTCATGAGCACAGGGTCAGAGGAGTTAATAACTCAGATCAGGGAAGGGGATGGTAAAGAAAGCTTACCAGAGGAGGTAGCTCCTGAGGCACTTGACAGGACCCTTTAAAGGAAGGTGGAAATAGAACTTATTTTCCAAGGTCTGATTATATTTTTTCGAGACAAGGTCTTGCTCTGTCTCTTGGACTAGAGTGCAGTGGCATCATCATAGCTCACTGCAACCTCAAACTCCTAGGCTTAAGCCATCCTCCTGCCTCAGCCTCCCAAGTAGTTGGGATTACAGGTGCTTGCTCTTGCTCAGGCTGGTTTCAAACTCCTGGCCTCAAGCAATCCTCCCCTCACAGCCTCAAAAAGTGCTAGGATTACAGGCATGAGCCACCACACCTGGCCTGCTTATTTTTATTAAACTTTATGTTATATTGTAGTTTCTAGCAGAAACATTTAAAACTGTAGGGCCGGGCGCTGTGGCTCACGCCTGTAATCCTAGCTCTTGGGAGGCCGAGGCGGGCGGATTGCTCAAGGTCAGGAGTTCAAAACCAGCCTGAGCAAGAGCGAGACCCCGTCTCTACTATAAATAGAAAGAAATTAATTGGCCAACTAATATATATAGAAAAAAATCAGCCGGACATAGTGGCACATGCCTGTAGTACCAGCTACTCGGGAGGCTGAGGCAGTAGGATTGCTTGAGCCCAGGAGTTTGAGGTTGCTGTGAGCTAGGCTGAGGCCACGGCACTCACTCTAGCCTGGGCAATAGAGTGAGACTCTGTCTCAAAAAAAAAAAAATTTTTTTTCTTCTTCATGTCTTATTGTACTGACTAGAATCTCCAGGACAATGCTGAATAGAAGCAGTGATAGTGGGGTCTCTTGTCTTTTGTGTTATTGTATCTCCAGTGCCTAAAATAGAACATGGGACATAGTAGCTTTTCAATAAATAGTTTTTTGGGTTTTTTTTTTTTTAATGGTATTTCTCTTTATTCATATAAATCTTATTTTTTTGTTATTGATTTCTTTTTATTTTTTTTATTTCAGTATATTACAGGGGTATAAATGTTTAGGTTATGTGTGTTGCCTTCCCCTCCTTACCCCCCGGAGTCAGAGCTTCAAGTGTGTCCATCCCCCAGATGGTGCTCATTGCACTCATTATGTATGTATATACCCATCCCCTTCTCCCCCCTCCCATCTGCCCGACACCCAATAAATATTATTCCTATGTGTCCACTTAGGTGTTGATCAGTGAAACCAATTTGCTGGTGAGTACATGTGGTACTTATTTTTCCATTCTTGGGATACTTAGTAGAATGGGTTCCAGCTCTATCCAGGAAAATACAAGGGGTGCTATATCATCGTTGTTTCTTATAGCTGAATAGTACTCCATGGTATACATATACCACATTTTATTAATCCACTCGTGTATTGATGGGAACTTCAGTTGTTTCCACATCTTTGCAATTGTGAATTGTGCTGCTATAAACATTTGAGTGCAGATGTCTTTTTTATAGAGTGTCTTTTGTTCTTTTGGATAGATGCCCAGTAATGGGATTGCTGGATCAAATGGTAGATCTACTCGTATCGCTTTAAGGTATCTCCATTTTGCTTTCCACAGAAGTTGCACTAGTTTACAGTCCCACCAGCAGTATAGGAGTGTTCCTATCTCTCCACATCCACGCCAATGTTTATTGTTTTGGGACCTTTAGATAAAGGCCATTCTCACTGGAGATAAGTGATATCTCATTGTGGTTTTGATTTGTATTTCCCTGATGATTAAAGATGTTGAACATTTTCTCATATGTTTGTTGACCATTATTCTGTCTTCTTTTGAGAAGTTTCTGTTCATGCCCTTTGCCCACTTTTTGATAGGCTTGTTTGATTTTTTTCTTGCTGATTTTCCTGAGTTCTAAATAGATTCTAGTTATCAGCCCTTTATCAGATGTGTAGCTTGTGAAACTTTTCTCTTATTCTGTAGGTTGTCTGTTTGTTCTTGTGACAGTTTCTTTGGCTGTGCAGTGGGTTTTTTTTTTGTTTTGCTTTATGAGACAAGATCTCACCCTGTCACCCCAGCTATAGAGCAGTGGTGTCATCACTGCAACCTCAAACTCCTGGGCTCAAGGAATCCTCCTGTCCCAGTCTCCCAAGTAGCTGGGACTACAGGTACAGGCCATCACACCCGGATAATTTTTCTATTTTTGGTAGAGACAGGGTCTTGCTCTTGCTCAGACAGGTGTTGAACTCCTGACCTCAAGTGATCCTCCCACCTCAGCCTCCCAGAGTGCTAGGATTACAGGCTTGAGCCACCATACCCAGCTTCAGTAAGCAGTTTTAAATGACTAACAGCAAAGCTGAGAGATGGAGAAAGATTGGTTCCTGTTTGATCATTTGAGCCTCCAAATCCCACCATGTCTTAAGTCATCTCTAACCATGGACTTTTTAATAACATGAGGCAATAAACTGTCCTTATTTTAATTTTCTTTTTTGCTTAGGCCAGACTTTTTTTTGACAAGTTCAGTCAAAAGTTTTAAATAATAAAATAATATTATATCTCATGATCCCAAGAATAGCACATGCAAACAAATAATTTTGGGGAAATTAATTATTATGCTCAATGGAGTTACTTTTTTTTTTTTGAAGAGTATTCTTCAAACATGTAGTTCAAACATGTTCCATTATCTACCACATTAAGAAGATCCTCCCTAGACCTTTAATCCCC